TGCATTGGATGAGATGTATTACATTTCTGGAGGTGCAGCTGTAAGATCCTGGGATGCTGATGGCTCTGTTGTGGGGTGTAGTGATAGTGGGGGTGGTGGAGACGTGCTGGCAGGGTTTGTATTTTTTGTCCTGGCACGGTCTGGATCCTTTTGGTGTGTCTGGGCTTGAGGAAGTTTGCTTCTGGTGATGAGGTTTGCGAGGTTCGGTTCTTGTTTGAAGGCTAGGATGGGTGGCTCTGGGAAGATCTTTTTAAGAAAGGGTCTCTTTCTAGTATGGGTTAAAAGATCTTCCTAGAGCCACCCATCCTAGCCTGCAAACAGGTATTGAACCTTGCCAACCTCATCACCAGAAGCAAACGTCCTCAACCCCAGAACACACCAAAAGGATCCAGACCGTGCCAGGACAAGAAATGCAAAACCTGCCAACACATCTCCACCACCCCCACTATTACTACACCCCACAACAGAGCCATCAGCATCCCAGGATCTTACAGCTGCACCTCCAGAAATGTTATATACCTCATCCAATGCACCAAATGCCCTGATGGAAGATATGTAGGAGAGACCAGACAACAACTGCGCACCAGAATGAATGCACACCGGAAATCTATCAAAGACAGAAACACTCAATTACCGGTGGGGACACATTTCTCACAGGAGGGCCACTCTCTCTCCAATCTCTCAGTCCTGGTCCTCAAGGGAAACTTACACAACACTTCCCAGAGACGAGCCTATGAGCTCCATTTCATCAACCTGCTGAATACTAGAGATCAGGGACTAAACATAGACATTGGATTTTTGATACATTACAATCTGCCTGACAACTGACTCCCCAGCCCAGCCCCTGGCTTGTTTACTTTTCATTCCATCCAGGAAGAGCACACACCAACTGCTGAAGCTTCCTTAGCCTGACGAAGGGTTTTTGAACCCGAAAGCTTGCTTAATAACTATTCTCCAACCATTTGGGTTGGTCTAATAAGAGATATCAAATTCACCCAAGGAACCTTGTCTGCCTTAAGTCCAACAAAGTCTTTTATAAAATTAGAACTTAAAACCAGGGAAACTGTTGGATCGAATTTTTGAGAGGAATCTGCCATAGTGCCTAGGGCTACAGGCCCCATTGTGCATGGCCCGCAGCATCTGGGGGGCCAGCATAGGCTGTGCTTGCCCCATGGTCACTTACACTGCTGCTGCCCCGTCCCCTCCCTACCCCCACTTGTGCTGTCTCTTACAGTCCACTGCCACCAATGAGCCCACTGCTGTAGCTCTTGCCAAGTCTGGATACAGCTCATGAGGAGTCCTGGAGTCTGGATCTGGCCTCAATGTGAGTTTAACACCCAAGCTGTAGAGCTTTCTGCCTGCATTAGCCAATCTACCTGACCAGGAAGGAGTCTCTGGTTGGGAGGACCCCCAGGGACTGTGGGGCCACTTTCCTGTCCCTGGTCCTTTCATATCTGTAGGCAGAGTTACACTGGGCAGTATC